GCCATTCTGTTAATGCTCCATTGCCTTTCTGCTAATGTTCCGTTACCATTCTGTAAATGTTCTGTTGCCATTCTGTAAATGTTCCGTGGCCATTCTGTTAATGTTGCTATTCTGTTGCCATTCTGTTAATGTTGCCATTCTGTTAATGTTATGTAGCCATTCTGTAAATGTTGCCATTCTGTTAATGTTATGTAGCCATTCTGTAAATGTTGCCATTCTGTTAATGTTCTGTTGCCATTCTGTAAATGTTCCGTTGCCATTCTGTAAATGTTCCGTTGCCATTCTGTTAATGTTCCGTTGCCATTCTGTAAATGTTCCGTTGCCATTCTGTAAATGTTCCGTTGCCATTCTGTAAATGTTCCGTTGCCATTCTGTTAATGTTCTGTTGCCATTCTGCTAATGTTCTGTTGCCATTGTGCTGACAGGACTCCGACTCTGAGGAGAAGAAAGAGAGAGAGAAAGATCGCAAGGAGAAGGAGAAGCAGGAGAGGATCGAGAACAGTCTGCGTGAGCGAGAGAAGGAGGTACAAAGGACACTGTCCAACTCTCTCCGAGAGCGTGACAAGGAGCGGGAACAACACAAGAAGGATGAGTCTATTCAGCATTTCAAGGCCCTGCTTGCCGATCTGGTGAGTGCTGCCATTAAATGAGGGTTGTTTAGAAGAGTATTGTCTGTGGGATGATGGATTAAAAGTAGGACACATCAGGTCTTGGCACTTGCTGCAAAACCAAATGGTAGTAATCAGCAATAGAAACTAACAAGTTTCTGCTAGTCCTTATTACACCTTAACTATTAGGCTGTTTGGCAAGGACTGTAGGAGTAGTGTCATTTTCCAACAGTGGAGTTGGAATAGTTCTTATTCCAGTTGAGCAGTTTTACAAGGGGCCTTACAGGGGTAGACAGAAGAAGCAAACTTTGGCCCTTCTATAACAAAGCTATGCCATAATAAATATTTTGTTCCCAGAGGCGTAGGGGGCAGTCATCTAAGGCACCGCGATTCGCCGTGCAGAAATGCGTTCCTTTGGCACGCCAGAAACCTATGATTGTGGGTTTGAATCCCGGTTCGCCCCAATTATGTTTCTAGGTTTGTCAGCACCATACCCGTGCTCATGGGTTTCACCGAAGTGGTAAACGTCTGAGACCTGCATCACTTTGGACTTTCCACCCACAATAAGCTGACATGCCATGATATAACCGGAATACTGTTCCAGTATTAAAAGCAGCGTTAATCCCAACTCACTGACTTACTCCCAGAGGTGTATTGCTTGTAAGAGGCGTTGTGACTCGGTGACTTGGTTGATTGGATTTGGTCGTTGTACCCAGACATGGGATGTTGCTCATGATAATGACTGGCATTTAGAGACCTTACTCATCTATTTCTGCTGGCCATAGGCGAAAGGGCAGCCATTTGTTGCTCACTTAGTTTTGGTTTATGCCGAGTTTCAGTGACTGAAGCCCAACTCTCTAATGTGGCCTGGCTGGGATGCTCAGTTGTATCAGATAATGGGTTGTCAGAGGCAGATTGCAGGCAATTGTTGTACAGCTATGTTTACTCGCTCACCATTCTCTGCACTTGAGGTACGGAACTCCGAGGCAAGTTGGCGAGACACACGCAAGCAGCTGCGGAGGGACCACCGCTGGGACCAGGCTGATCAGCTGGACCGGGACGAGAAGGAGAAGCTGTTCGAGGAACACATCGAGAACCTGACCAAGAGAAACAAGGAAATGTTCCATAAACTACTGGAGGAGACAGTCGAGGTATGGCGACAAGTGGGAGCGGTACAACTGTGGTCCTTGTTTACAACAGTCAGGGTTGTAGGTGGCAGGGAGCGATTGAAAACTAATCTGGGAAGGAAGGACATGAAAACTTTCGGGTTTTGTTTATATCTTGACAATCTATTATGAGGTCATGGGTTTGAGTGCCAGATTGGTTCTGATGACCATGTCTTGGTGGGGGGCGGGGGGACACGGCGGGGACAGTCATCTAAGGCACGGCAGTTCGCTGTGCAGAGTTGCATCCCTTGGCATGCCAGAAATCTATGATTGTGGTTTCAAATCCCGGTTTGCCCAATTATGTTTCTTGGTTTGTCAGCATCATTCCCATGGATTTCATCAAAGTGGTAAATGTCTGAGACCTGCATCACTTAAAACTTTCCTCCCACATAAAGCTGACACGCCGTGATATCACTGTGATACTGTTCAAAGCAGCGTTAAACCCAACTCATTCCCACTCCAATGTGGTAGGTCTGTGTCACTTTCCTATCAGCTGTCAGTGCTGGGACAGTGTTCAACTCACTCACTCACTCACTGGATACAAGCTGATGTGGTAGTGATAGTGGGAAGAAGTATTTATGTAGGTGGAAATGAGTACAGAGTCTATGTAACATGAGTTAATTCTCATGAACATACCGATGTTGATATGTAGTGTGCATTGTTGTCTCTCATGTGTTCCTGTGTCCCAGATCTCACTGACGTCTCACTGGAAGGAGACCAAGAAAATGATCAAGGAGGACCCCCGCTACAGCAAGTTCTCCTCTAGTGATAGGGTGGGTACCAGGCAGTTATGTCACAGGACCATTCAGTGATTAGGCCAGATAAAACAGAGTTTATTAATCTTTAAACAAGGGTTTATTAATGTAACACCAATGCCTCGTAACTTGCTAGTATTTCCAGTACTTGGTTAAAACAAGTATAAAAGTGTTCTTCCAAAGTACAGGTTCAATGTCAAGCCTTTATGGTCAAACCAGATTCTCAATAGAGAACAATCTTTATTTGATGTTATTTCTGTGTTTCAGAAAAGAGAAAAGGAATTCAATGAATATATGCACGAGAAGTTTGTACAGGCTAAGGGAGACTTCCGTGAACTTCTGAAAGAAACAAAACTCATTACATACCGGTAAGTGTCAGCTTGTGCATAGCACATCTGAAACCAAGCGCAAACATGGACTGCTTTGAAAGTGTCAGATATCTTAAAAACAATGTTTTGTTTCATATACACAATGGATATAATTAGTGTTCTCTCAATGCCCCTCTATTCCTCCCTTTCCATGCCTCTTCTGTCCTGCGGTTCCATAGTTTGAGGAGCTGTACTTCACTGTGCCAGCAGATTTACGCTATTCTCCTTGGTGTATCAGAAACACTGTTCAGAGTTGTGTTACACATGAACTCACTGACCCTTCCCATACCCCACTTGACAAGTACCTACCTGGGGTACACGGTCAGTACACATATTGATTTGTGTCTTGTGCTGTTCAGAGTAGTGTTACACATGAACTCACTGACCCTTCCCATACCCCACTTGACAAGTACCTACCTGGGGTACACGGTCAGTACACATATTGATTTGTGTCTTGTGCTGTTCAGAGTAGTGTTACACATGAACTAACTGACCCTTCCCATACCCCACTTGACAAGTACCTACCTGGGGTACACGGTCAGTACACATATTGATTTGTGTCTTGTGCTGTTCAGGTCCAAGAAGATGCTGGAAGATACTGATCATCATCTGAAGGACATCGAAAAAATACTGCAAGTAAGTGCTCTTGTCGATGACAATACACGCAGTGGTAGACACGTATGTTTGATAGGCATTACTGAGAAGTTGACAGATGACAAAGTAGACACATTTATGGATAACAACTTCTTTGATACTGTAAAGGCAACGTTTCGTCTATACCAAAATGTCACCTTTACAGTATTAAAGAAGTTGTTGTCCATAAATTTTGTCAACTTTGTCAGTGGTAAACACCCTGGTAACTTGGCCCCCAGCTCTCCATTGCTTGTTATTAGAGGTCAGGTTAGGTGCGATGGTTGATATTGTTTCATCATGGGACGTAACTCTTATGAACCGGTTTGTCTGGTCCAGAATCAACGATTTACAGGACTCTGTGATAGCTGAAATATAGCTGACTGTGGCGTTAAACAGCAACAACAACCAACAAGCTTAATGTGTGGGTGACAAAAGAATCTAGAATTTTCTTTCGCAACTCACCATTATTTCACATGAAATCTTAATTATTCCCGTAAACTGGAATTAGGTTTCACTGTAAACAATTTGCATTTTGTAATCTAACTTCTGTGAAGATGATTTGCATAATTTCCGTTGTCAGAATGACAAGCGCTACCTAGTCTTGGAGTGTGTGGAGGATGAACGAAGGAAGATCCTAATGCAGTACATCGACGACTTAGACCGGAAGGGCCCCCCTCCCCCGCCCACAGCATCGGAGCCCTCACGACGCAGTACCAAATAGTTCTACTGGTTTTAACACTGTATATATGCTATGTCCCTGTCTCCATTGTTGTCATCTCGCGCTCACTCAATAAACAATTTTAACATTGACAGCAGTTTTTGTTCTGTGAACCAGTCATTGTTCGCAGATGAAAATGCAGAACAAAAGAATATTTTCAGAAAGGAAAGCAAATTGTGTGAGTGAGTGAATCCCACAAACCCACAATCCTACTGGGATTAGAACAACCTACCTTTGTCGTACTAAAGGGATCGGCTAGTAGGACTGGTTGATTGAGTGCCATCATTTTCTGAAGGCGTGGGACGTTGCTCAAAATATTAATCCTTGGTTTGTATGGTCCAGGCTAGTGTCATGTAGCTGGAGTGTCCGTCTTTAACGTATAAAGACAAAACAATTACCTGCTCTGCCCCTTGTGATTGAGGTCAAAGGCACAACAGTTGGCATTCTGGTTTGTAATCACCACTCATTCTTGCCAACTTCCCCAACATGGACTGACTGCAGAGTGATGAATTTTGGTCCATTTCGTTACATATATATTTTATCTGACCTATGTGAAGGCACACAAAGATGGCGGGAGGTATTAATTTCGGAAAAGTTGAAGAAAAGAGAAATGGTAAGAAGTTTATGAGGGCCAGGCTGTCTGCTTTAATGAATCAGACGGACGGATGATGACTGAGGTCAGTTGCACTCAGTTCAGATGAGTCGAAACAATGACGTCGACGAAAACCTGAAGACAATAACAATATAAAACAGAAAGTAAACAATAGCTTTATTGAGAGAAAACCTGTACAATGCAAATTTATCCCCACAAATTGTGTTAATACATTGAAGTGTAGTACTAAAGTACTCACGGAAATGAAAAAAAAAGTTTTTTCGACCTCCAATCTTAAATAAATGCAGTTAATATACAAAATATGTAAATATTCAAACAACTAAACTAGTACTAATTAGGCTGTGGCACAAATACAGCGTATCAAATGTTTTTATGCCTTTTTACATGTAAGAGTGTATAAATGTGAATAAAACAGACTATTGTGAAACAGGGCATAACCAGGTGTAAGTAGATCAAGGTGACCTATGACACCTTGACGACAGGTGAGAACAGGTGCATAATGCCTATAGTCTGTTTCTGCTGTCAATTTGGACTTAGTTTTATTTTTGAATGTTGAAAGTGCCGACAAATTACCTCCTGTAAAGTACATTTTGTATTGTTCACTGAGATCAAACTAGCAAATCCAGACTAGTACTTTTCGGGTTGTTTTGGTATTTCGTATTTACAGCTATGTAACACTTTGTGTCGATTTTTAAATTGAGAAAAACAGGTTTTTTCATTTCCGTGAGTACTTTAACATGGATTTGAGCTTAATTAGGTACGACATTCATTCCACATCTAGCATGGCCACAGACATTAGAGCCTGACAAAACTCATTCCCATAATTGTGAAAACATTGATATGATATCTGTGTAATTAAACTGAATACAATGTATATTACATTCCCTCTAATTCTGGCTCCCAACATCAGCTGCTTCTAATCGCCCACAGCTCCAATGTTTGTCACAGGCGTTCATGTCCTACAACAAGTTGTTGGTGCCCAGGTTGTATGTTTAGACATACATAGATGTTCCTACAGATCAAACATACAAGTTTATTCTTCTCTGCCAGTGAAGTTAAAAACAGTAACTAATCAAGAACGAGAGGTTCAAGTAACTGTTACATACCTAAAAACAGTTGGCCAAACAGCTATTCGCTGTTGCTGGCTTTTTTTCAAGAAAATATGTAAACTGTGTTCTGCAATACAAAATGACTGATTTTCATGTGCGATTTACAGATGTGATTATAAAAACTGGTATTCACAGAAGCCAAACATTCACAAGAAACACTCAGCCAATTCAGTTCAGAGGGGGCATGCATTACTCTAAATCATCTATGGCTGAGTCGCTCATCGTGCAAGTTGCTGTTATTGTCACAATTAATACAGACATGATTTGGTTAACTCACAGCAAAACACAGCCTTTTTTTGTTCACAGAGAACAACTGATGGGTTATCAAAGTCATTGAGATATGAACAAGGAACTCTTTTTTTTTCTACCAAACTAAAATTTAAGATCATTGTGTTCTTTCATCATAATTTGTTCTCTCTTTTTTTAACCTTCCTTTTAAAAACTGTTCATGTTATGAAGGATTAAACGAGGTAATTAAACAAAGAGAGACTTACAATGAGTCCAATTTTACTTTCCTTTATTCTTATGGTATAATCAATTGCTATACCATGTTTACAGCAGCAGAAACAATTTGGAAAAAATATGAATTCAGAGTTTAATTTGGAAAACCGAATTAGAATTGCATCTGATGACAAGGTACCAGCAGCCTCACAGACCATTAGTAGAATGATTGCTGTATAACTAATGCTTGTAATACTGACTCAAACAGTCTCCATCTCGTAGGAGATTTCTTCATGAAAATAGATTTTGATTAAACATTTAAACTAAAAGACTTATTTCAGAATTGGTTCTAAATTTGAATGTTTTCGTTTACTCTGTGACCGGTGGACATTTCAAAATGTCACAACTGTGTGGGTTTTTTCAAATATTAGTCTGTCCTGAGTAGTAATTTAGAACTGATCACAATTTAAACACACTTTCAACAACATATATGTTTATCTGAAATTATTGCAAATCAGAGTCGTCTTATAAAATGGAATATCGACACATCAATGATTAATCAAACAGAAAACATCGTGATTACTCACAACAGGAAACACCATGACAAACCATGAACTGACAGACACCTCAGTGAGGTGACAATATGAGGAGGCCGTCGAATCAACAGAATATATACAGAGTAAAGGGTTGTGTCTCAGTATGTCTTACTACCAGTGTGCATCTTGATAACCAAGAGAAACAAAAACTTGCATGTACAGTTTACTTAAGGACAATATATCTAAGCACTTAGTCTTAAAAGTAAAGCCTTTTATCAAGACACAAATTCTGTGAAAATACCTCAATGCTTAAACAAAGAATCATGAAAGCTTAAACTCCAAATAATTCTAAATAAAGACAAAGTGCCTATTGGAAATATTCTAACATATAATCACAGAAATCATCATCTATAAAACTCTCTAATGATTCATATTTTCTCATATCAAAAATATTCTAAATAAAACTTATCTGCTAATCTTTAAAATTATGCTTATGTGCCTCTCACATACAACGTAACTTTGCCCTCACATACAATAAAATGTGCTCTCATATACAATAAAATGTGCTCTCACAATGAAACAGAACTGTGCAGAACTTATCAATATAGTATGAACAAGAACGCGAAAATGGCCTGACGAAGCTACCTACTAAGAAAGGTTTGTCTGAAATTAATTTCAAACATACCATTACTTAGATTCACATATATCATGATATTTATAACCAACAAAATGGGTGAAGAATTTAAAAATAATAAATGTGCATGTGCGAAAAAGGGGGGAGAGAAAAAGAAAGTGTGTGACCTTTAGCTTCAAAGCAGGATATAAAGCATTTATTCTCCAAACGCAGAAATCCACATGTGGCCTGTTTTCTTTGTGGCGGGATATAAGGGATTTATTCTCCCGCTGATAAATTTATTCCCTCCATAGTATTTTATGAAGATCATTTGAACCAATTCGATCTCATCATTCTGACATGGAGGTATGATAATATTATTTACAACCACCCCTTGAACCTGGCAAGTATGTATGAATGCATAACCATCGGATTGCCTTCAGACCAAATAACCCTGTAATGAATGGCCAGTTATTTACATTACACAGAACACATTCAGCCATGTAAAGGCAGAATCTTTTACAAACTTATTTTGTTGCAACTTCACAATTGCAATACATTTCACAAATACTGTAAGAAAATTGTAAGTAAGGGTTTCAGATTTTCTAGGACACTGACTGATTGTCATTCAAAACATCCTAAGATATTTTTCAAATTTGGTAATGATAAATAAGAATGTCCTAAAATTTTGATGGCAGGAAAATCTCCAAATGCTGTATGTCTCCATCAAAACCAGAATAGGTTAACATGTTTCTACGAAGGTTACAGTTCTGGAAGTATAAAATAACTACTGCTCTGTCATACAGTAGACTGACTCAACTGACTGCTGAACACCGCCCTGTCATACAGTAGACTGACTGCTGGACACCGCCCATGCCCAGCTTAGCAAGGATCTACAGTATATATTGGGGTGCATAACATACAACTTTATCAAGTCCCATGGATGTTCCAAAAAATATTTCTCATCACTGCAGGTAAAAAATTCAAACATGCCATAGGAATGGTTTTCGTTAAGGGCAATCAAAATTCTTTGCTGTCAGATTGAAAGTTATATTTGCTCTAGGAATGTCAAGACCATCTGATTTGAATAGAAGAGTTATATGTTCTTGTCTAAATGCCAATGGCTGGTGGCCTGTCATTTTGAAAATAAACTTATGATGAGAAACAGTATTTATTTTTTGTCATGGCCTCATCTAACTACTAACCAAGCCTGATCTATACCAGTGCATTATTAACACTGGATTCAACTCCTAGCATGAGTTTAAGCAAAACAGTAGAGCATGGATATATTAAGCATACGTACTAAGCGCCGTCATATAGCTGGAATAGTGCTGAGTGCGGCGTTAAATAGAAAACAAACAAACAAACATACTAAGCATGGATAGTTTACATGGAAACCCCTGAACAAAACCTGATGTGAAGTAACAAAATATGTACAATAAGTTTAGTCCTATAAAGAAAACAGACTGGAAACTCAGCCCAGTAAAGGTGAACTAGGAACTGCTACTGGCTAGGATATAGGAGGAACCTTGTGCCCACTCTGGATCCCTGATCAACACCCATAATGGCTTGTTCAAATAAATGTCCTTTTTCTCATCACCGGGCAGCCCCCACTAAATTTTTTTTAAGCACTCTAACATGCTCAAGAAATTACTCAAAATTATCCAGATGACCCAAATTTCTTTTTGTTTCAGATTGGAAGTTTTTGTACCAGCTATTCATAGTGAGTCAGATTCGCAAGTAAATCTAGCAATGGTCACATGGCCTTGGGCCTGAACTCTCAAACATGAAACTGCAGGGTCGTGGCCACGTGGAACATTGATATTAAAGCTTCCTTTATTAATATGTAACCTACTGAGGACATGAATTCAAGTCCTCCCTCCCAACCCTGTCATGAGACACCCATTGAGACCTTAGTTCACAAGAAACAAGACATTGTTTAATAAGCCAAACATGTACAAACTAAAGCAGGACACATGACACAGAAAACATTCATTTCCCCGGATATTTCATAATGACAAGTTTACCTGATGCTCTAACAAAATATATAATGCTGGTGTTCCATTGTTCCATTAAACCAATTCAAGCATGATCCTGATGACTTGTCTCCATTCTAAACAACAAGGACCTGATCACTATTACAGAAACCATAACTTCCATCAGCCCACTACAACACTACAAGTGGGAAGAAATCGGGGCCACCTTATGGCCAACTATGTTTATCATGTTCACAGTAAACAGAAGTAAACGTCTGATTTGTAATACACTAGGAATGTGAACACACTAGTGCAAGGCCTTCCGCCAGTGATCTACAGCCAACCTGCACTTACACAAATGAGCAATTTAACAGATTTGGAACTTTTAATATGTTTAGAAGTCAGCTGGTATTCAATTTGAGCAAACAAATGAAATTATTGAACATCATAACAAAAGAAACAGCAAAATAATTCAGACAATATGTCAGTAATAAATACCTGAAATGCAACATCAATGAAACAGAAAAGCAACATCTGTATTTAGTCAACACAGTTGTAATTAAAGTCAATTTCCCCATCCCCAATATCAAAGTCAATGAAACTGTAGATCATCACGGTCACTTAAAATGTGTGACTTTCTCATGTTTATACCAGGTATTTTTTTACTATCAGTTCAATTTAAGCCAACAATGGAAGTCAGCCATTGCACATAAACTGACGGAACCAACTCTCAACAGGTGGGAATCCACATAATCACACACGCCATTTCACTGTAGTCATGAAACCTCAACCACGATGTGGAGGCTGTAATTTGTGCTAGACAGTTTGAATGACACATATTAAATTTGTCATAGTGTCATTTGTAGCCAGCATGACTATTTTTCATCAGCAGGTGTTTTCTATCCATTTCACAAGTCAATAACAAAATCAAGCTATACAGAACTGAAGATGGACACGTTTCTGTTATCAACAAGCATTTTTGTTCATCATTTAAGGCAACAGCTTTCATAAAGCATATCAATACTTATAAAGTCACTTGATCCTAATGGAGAAACTACATGAAATATGTACAACATTTAACACAGTGTCATTGATTTAACTGGGAATCAATGATTTTGCCATCATCCCATTCAAACATCCATTTATATATGACATTTCCTTCTGCTGTGTAATTACAATGACCAAATGTTCAGCATCCCTAAATATACAGATATTTGTGTACATAATAGAAAATATTTTCACAGCGGAAATATCATAAACGTGTTCAGCTGATCTGGATGGAATGGTTTAACAAATATCACCAGCTTCCTACATCTTTTTGTCATGCAGCAAGTGAAGCATTTTCATACAATCGTGGTGACAATTCTGAAACACTAAATTAAACTTGTACATATATTCTCTTGCCAATCACAACTATTTAACTAACCATGTGTCACACCATTTGGGATTTCCTATTGATGAAATTGGACATTTACTTGCCTTGTTTGAGAATAACCACCTCAGCTTTAGAAAGTAGGGCTATAAATCCTCCACAATTACAATGTTATATTATACCCTGTACCTTAATACATGTATTGCCAACATACCAAGACAAATAGATATTGCCCTTCCTATAAGTTGTGCTATGCCAAGCAGACCCTGTACTTTGGCCATACTGCTCACAAACTCAGAGTAATCCAATGCTTGATTGTAACCCAGTTTACAAAGACAAGAATTGTGACAAATTTCTCAGAACAATTGTTCACAATCATTACCATAGCTGGCATGTGACAGACGTAAGATCTTGATGTTGGGGACATTATAATAACAAACAGCAACCTTTGGTAATCCGCTATCCACAATGCTAGGCCCCAATAGCCCCATGCAAAGTTTTGTTACTGTCTGCTGATACCGCAGACTGTACACCCATCACATGCATGACGTATTGACTTTGAGAGACAATGGACTGGATTATCCATGACATACACACACCTTTATGAAACCAGGAACCATTCCCCTTCACAATGTACACCAAAATTGGGGGTCCCTTTGAGTTTGGTATATAGTTTGCTGCATGTATGTAGCCCTGGCAAATACAGGGTTAGAACTTAAATTCCTACGGCTAGTACAAATTTCTCCATTTTTGTAACAATACAAGGGTATTTTATCATTACTCCGTCTAGTAAAGCTTTTGAGTTTTGTTCCAACCTTGCAAATATGTTGATGATTAATTTGCTGATTCGTGATATATTGCTTATGGTATGTTCTTCCAACACTTTGCTGCGTTTTGATGAAGTGTAGACATGATAACCTTGTATGCAAAAAGTATCCAAGGTTTTGCATCAGAGATATAAAACTCTTTTTGACCATAGACAACATGAAAAACATATTTACATTTTCATAAACATGTTATATGTAATTTGCCTTTTCTTTTTATAGAAGCCTTGTTAAAACATTATCACTTGACACAAATTAATTCTAATCATATATAAGTGTTGTATGTAACGAAATCACTTGAATTACCATGATCAGCATCCTTGTACCTTAACTTGAATACAAACAGTTTACTGTGTCACAGTCTTATAGTCCTACCAGAGTCACAACTATAGCGGTATTTCGAAATATACCAAAATGTCCACATATGCTATGACCATCATGTGCCATGTGCTGAAGATGGCACAAAAAATTACAAATCCCATCTGTTGAAACATAACATCAGTGACCAGCAATTCATTTGAATCAAATTCTATCTTCGTACAAACCCAACATCAATGTATATAATGCATACTGCCATATATTCCTAAAAGACAATCAACTTCTATCTTTCCTTGAAGGACTCCTTTTAAAACATGAGATTGTACATATTCACTCAGCGCACATATCCAGGTCACTTTGACCTCCATCCTCGACGAAGTGACTTCTGGCCAGCATCTTCATCTCCATCATTATAATCTACCCCCTTCTCATCAAACTCTCTTTTCCCCTGGCCCACCCCAAGCTTTGACCTTCCACTGTCAATCAGCTTGTCCTCATCCCGGACAGACACACTCCCACCGACACCGTTCTGTCTCCTTGTATCATCCAATCCATCCTTCCTACTTCTGTCCATCTGATCAACCTTGTTCTGAAACTGCTGTTCCCCTTTGCCTAAATCACCTCTCTTCAAAGGGTCGTTTCTTTCCCCACCTCTTTGAAGGAAGAAATTGGCCAGAGGTTTCTCTCTCCCAAGAGGAGCAGCAGGTGGTCCTTTTGGACTGACTCCAGACTGAGCATTATATTGCTGGAATGTATTGTTTCCTGCTTTGCCAAACCTGTCTTCATTTTTGTACTTTATCTGCTCCTTCACTGTTCGAACATTCTGCTCCCCGAGCGGGAGGTTAGATTGGCGGAAAGCATTCTGCCCAAAAGGTTTCTGATTTTGGTTTGAAGGAATATTTATGTTATTGCCTTGAGGGCGTTGATCAATTGTTTGTTGTGCCCCATTTTGGTTGTTTGGTCGTCCATTCCGCACATTGACATTCAAAGGTTGTCCAAAATTTTGCATTTGTTGTAATCTTTGGTCTTGTGACTGACGCTGGTTTCCAGCACCATTCTGGTTGCCCTGCAGACCATTTGACTGTCCCTGTCTGTACTCCTGATCATTGCCAAACCGTCCATTATTCGGCACATTGTTATAGGGACTTCTCTGAAAACCCTGCTGCTGTTGCTGTTGTGGTTGCTGCTGCCTTAAACCCTGAGTAAAACCTGGCATCAATGGCTTTCCTGAAGATGCACCAGCTAGAGGTCGTTTATTCCACACTTTGCTTTGTAGCAGAATGTTTGCCTTGTTCAATTTGTCCTGCAAATCATCAATCCTCTGAGTCAGGTGCACCTCAACCCATTCATTAATTGTATCCTGGCCAAAGATGTTCGACAAAGAGTTCTGTACAGGCTGCTTTAGCCCTTTCAGCTTGTCCAAAATCTTCACTAACTTCTTCTTCAAAACTTTCATCTGCCCTGGGCTTGAGAAACCATTCTTCACATGGTAGTTAGTCATCCAGCCCTCAATTCTCGACTGAAGGCCAGCATCACTGAGATATCTGTCCATGTCTCCCCACAATTGCTGCACAGCAAAGTAGAAGGTACTTCCAGGGAAATTGCAGTCTTGAGTTATGATGTAAGAATTATTCACTTTCTTTGGAAAATCAAGCTCAATCAGTCGACTACACTTGAGAATCCTGCTGGTGACATTGTGGATGTCTGCTGTGAACCCACCATTTTTAATGGCCATTAAGTTGACAGCCATTGAAGGAACAGATGATGGTAACAGTTCACACAAAGCGGCAAAGTGGTCATACCTCTGCCATCCGGTCATTGCAAATCCTCGGAATTTCTCCAAGGGCAGAATGTCCTTGATTTCCTTCACAAGCTGAATCCAGTTGAGGTGGTTCTCCAGATGATAGGAGACATTAGTGAAGAACTGGGCGCTCCCAGTGGCTCCCTTGAAGGAAGAGGCTGCCCAGACTCCAGAGAAGTGCTTGCCATATTTGGTCCACATATCCTTGGGGAATCTGTCTTTGGGATGTGGAGTATAGCTCCACACCATCAACTCCACCATGCTTCCCAAGCCAGATCCCTGAAATATAATGAAGTTGCACCTGAAAAATTATTTGCTTCTTAATATTATAAAAACAAAGCATGAATTATACCAGAGGCAGATCCAGAAATTTGGAAAGTTGTGGTGCACAATACTAAAATCAGAAAGAGAACAAACAACTGGTTGGCATGGAGTCTGAATACAGGAAGGCAGCATGTCATTTCCTAAAAAAGAAACTTTGATAGCAATTTTTTCAAGGATAATAATTATAATACAATGAAGACATAATTTACTTAAAAATAAAGGATGCATGTGCAAATACAAATTATTATGATCATGATTATTATCATTGTTACTGCAAAGTTATGACATATGAAATTACTGGCAGAGTTCATGTAACAATGAACTTTTTGAAGGTCATCGGACATCTTGGAACAAAACCAAACACCAGATGCTGACATCAGCATTGTTTAGCTTCTCTATGAGACCCAATCTTCTTAACTATGGCCACTCTATCAACCATCAACCACACAATATGAAGTCACTGATCCATATTAAATTAAATACATCTAAAAAGAAAAACAAGTGAAAAAACCCTACCGCAATCATCTGGTCTGGCATCCGTCGTAATTCATCATCCCACATCATAACTTTGGTGGCGGGGAACTTGGTTTTGACAAACTTTGCCACCTTCTTGACATGCTTCAGGAACAACTGGTACTTGGTGAGGTTGTTTTTCTTCATGAAATCTGCTGTCAAGCCTTTCCCCAGTTCATAAACCTCATCACAGCCTATGTGCAGATAGGGAGAATCTTGATGGAGGGACATCACCTGCTCGATTATCTTATTGATGAGCTCATACGACCCATTTAGAACAGGACTGATCACTTGTGGAGTGTCTGCTGTTTCTCGTAAGTTTTGATACTTGGGATACTTGAGAACAAATTCCATATGACCAAATGTCTGAACAAGTGGGATGACTTTGAGATTATTGATCTTGGCAGCTTTGAGCAGACGGCTAATGTCATCCCTATTGTAAGCATTATTCGCAGCAAGGATTTGTAGATCATTATTAAAGGGAAACATATCTTCATATTCCAACAACAATCCAGTAGCCCCAAGCTTAGCCATTAGAGGGAAAAGACTAATAAGATAGTCAATCTTGGGAGGAGCACCTTTCAGGTCGATATGTACCATGTGTTCCATCTTTCTAAAGCGTTCAATCATGGCATCATCAGGCTTGACATACAACTGTGGATACAGAATACCACCTGGCATTTTCTTCTCACTGAAGTCTTGGAAATTGCTCCTGGGATCATCTTTCACATCATCTTTTATCTTGAAGTCTCTTCTTGGATCATCCTTACCATCATCTTTGTCCTTAAAATATTCTTTACCCTCACCATCAGTATCTTCTCTGAATTTGTAATCCTCATCCATTCCTTTTTCAAGTTCCTCCCGAGATCCAAACTGTCCCGGGGGTTCCAGCGGCTTCATCTTCTCCACCCCGCCAAACTTGTTCTTGTCCTTGAACCTCCGGTTCTCGATGCTGGGAGGGTCCTGCATCTGAGGGCCGACTTGAGCCTTGTATTTCTTCGGCATGTTTCTTTGTTTGAAACCACTTACTTGACGGTACTTCTCAAACCTAGCGTTGGAGCTGGAGGTGACAGACGAACCCCGATTCCAGGAGTAATATGCAACCAATGTCCCAACTAGCAGGAGCAGTGCCAGAACCACCAGCGCTGGTTTCCCCCGCAACATGATTCTTCCTCCACTTCGGTGTCGTCTACGCATGTATATCTGCAAGAAATATTGTCACAGTTTACACATCTATGCCATAAACTTGTATAGATATTGCCATGCTGGCTGGATATTCTACATGAGGCCAGGCCTTTTCTTGCTATTAATATACCATCTTCCCGAGGCACGGAAGTTAACTGATCATATATGTCAAGTTTCCACCTTGCCGAACTAGGCTGCAATTATGGAGTTCTATTTTGGCTGGACTAACGAGTCTTTGCATAGTCCAATCAAAACCATGTAATGAAATCGACATCCGGTTTGTAAACAACATGGATTTTAAAAGCAGATTTCTGTTGACTGCAGGATTTGCAAAAGATGTATATTGTCAACTTGGTGTCAATAGAAATTTTCCGAATCTTTCCATGTTTATATCAAGGTGCACACCTGATTTTATGCATTTCGCTAGGTAAGCCCTGTTTTATTACTACATAGATCTTCATCGATCAGATCATTTTGAACATGTTGAATGGGCGCCGCCATTTTGTTTGAAGCAAATGCAAGTGATATGAGAGGTGGAATCTGATTGGTCTTTCAATAGGAGGGGCATAAAAGGGACATAACTCGTAATAGAAACCGGTGGTGCTACAATCAAGCCCCGAAATTCCAGGACAGTCAGGCAAGGGTGGAAACTGGACTTTTACAGTCAGTTAACTTCCTTGCCGTAGGAAGATGTTGATATACATTGGTATCCCTAGTTAAAAAATCTAATTTGTAGCTCAGTGTTCAGAAATCTGGCATAAAGTTGTTTGGGTTAGTCTGTTAACATGGATTATCTGGATCATATAAACTCTGCAGGATGTTTATTGATATGTGTTTTACATATACTTATCACATAATATACTACTTATTAGTCTTCATATGTAGTTTTGGGGCCATACCGACAATAGTGAAACATCAATGTTCATATCACCCTGGGACCTGATAAGCCATATCAGTCAGCAGAGTCTTGAACACAACCTTTGGGAATGATTATCACATCACATTATATACACATAGATATAAGCAGCAGAATAAATACTGCAACATATATTGATACATGATCAACAAGGCAAAAAGTGAGCACGGCACACTACTACTGCTGACCTCGACTCAAACATCAGCTGAACAACGATTTTGATCTTGGAAAATGCAAATATATTGATGCTTTAACTTTGAGCTGGTTTAGCAAAAAAAGCACATTGATATAAAATAGTAATAGGCTAAAAGTATGATTCAAAGATGCACTGGAACAAGCTTTGCTGGATAGAGTACACTTCACTTGACATTGATTAGTATTTTCACCCTAGATTGATTCTCGTTTTGAAGAAGGTTCATGGATTTATATATACTCACACGCAAAAGAAATGCAAGTCGAGTATGCAGTATACATGTTATTTATTTTCAACAGTAAAGACAAGAAATACTAATAGGGCAAGATTGACAAAAATTGACTGAAGATAGTTTAATGGATTAAAAGGCAGATGACATTATTGTTTTTTTCAAATGTTAAGGGCTTACACAGTTTCAGGTCAATACCCAAAATGTCAGTCAATACCTGGTGTGACCACCATTAGCATTGATCACTGCCACACATCTCCTGTACATTGAGTGGTTCAGACGATTTGTGAAGACCCTAGGGATCCTCCTGCACACATCCAGAGCAGCTGTGCGTAGTTCATCTGCAGTTGTAGGGACTGGGCGCACATTGTGCAGATGCCTTTGAACCTCATCCCACAAGTGTTCGATGGGGTTCAGATCAGGGCTGAGAGCTGGCCACGGTAGAAAACGGATGTTGTGTTGTTGCAGAAAGGCCATGGTAGCTCTGGCAACATGGGGACGAGCGTTGTCCTGCTGGAAAATGTGTTGTTGATGTTGTGCAAAAAATGGAACAACGTGGGGTCTGATCACTTGGTTGATATACTGCTGAGCAGTGACACCGTGTCCCCGACCTTGACCAACATTCAGAAAGCACATGGGTCCAAGTCTCGCATTAAGTCCAATCCCTGCCCATATCATGACCCTAGGTCCACCCCATGGATCCCTTTCCACAACGTTTCTGTCAGCGAAATGATCACCTCGACGCTACCAAATTCTGACTCTTCCATCTGCATTGGAGACACAAAAGCGACTTTCATCAGAGAAGATGACACGCCTCCACTCACAATAACACCAATTGTGATGACCCTGTGCCCACTGAAGTCGTGCTTGTCGATGCCGTGGTTGGAGAACAGGACGACGTGCTGGTTGGCGACATCTGAGGTTGTTGGAGCGGAGACGTCTGATCACAGTGTCCCGGCTAATGTGTCGATTATGTGATTCTATGGTCTGTCAAGCACTTTCACTTGCAGTTAGGAACGGGTGTCGCTGGTGTTGACGGGTAATCTGCCGATCTTGTCGAGATGTGGTGACCCTAGACGACCGCTCCGAGGAAGGTCAACTGTGGTCTGTGTAGCATTGTATCGATGCAGGAGACGGTAAATTGTGGTTATGTTAATGTTGAAATGATGGGCAACATCTTGGACAGACTCTCCAGCTTCCAAACATCCGATAGCCTGGTTTCTCTGAATTTGAGTTAGGCGTGGCATTGTGGACCAAGGAGTGGTAGGTCCAAGAATCGGCCACAGTTTTATACCCACTACAGTTCGGGACAGTTGCATGGGTGCATGATACCCACATATTCACTGAAATTCGTTTTTTATGTTGCACTTTCACTCACGGTTCCAAAATACAACCAAAAATATTGATAACACCATCAGGCTTCACTACATGCTAAAACTCGTATCAACTTATGGTTCAGTGTTTGTTACCTATTTGCTTAAAACCACTTGCGTTTCTTTTGCGTGTGCGTATATAAAATTCCAAAAATGAAAAATAGCTGTATGTATTCAGAAAACTCAAGTATTGAAATCAAAACTTTCAACTGCACCTCTCCTATTGGGCATAGAATTTGTTTAGCAAATTACAAAGAACCTATGCGGTAGTTTTTAATTTTGCAAGAATATTCCGGAACTATTTTGCATACATTTAGTTGCAATATCTCACTACAACAGTGTATGGATATCATCATAATATATTTCATAAATAAATGTCAATGTAAACTCAGGTTTCTGCTACAACTTATTTATTGATTAACCTGAAGGACACAAGGGCTTTTGTCACCAATATTGATTCATTAACAAGTGTTATTCACTGCCGATCATGTATTATTCATGAGATTCATGTCAGTGATAGTCGAGACAAAATAAATCAATACCAAATAATAAATCATTTATGTCATCTCCAATATTCACAAGACGTGCCAGACAGACCGATTTTCCACAAATCCTGACCATGCTGTTTGTCACGAATGTTTAACTTGCAATAGTAACGTTTGTTTGTTGGTTGTTTAAAGCCAAACTCAGCAATATTCCAGTTACATGACAGCGGTCTGCAAATAATTGGGTCTTTACCAGACAATCCAGTGATTGACATAATGAGCACAGATCCACACAATTGGGATATGGTAAGAAGGATCAACCAAGTCACCGAGCCAGACCACCAGATCCTGTTAGTCGCCTCTTACGACAAGCATAGTCGCCGATTACAAGCATGGGTTGCTGAAGACCTATTCTATTGCGGATCTTTACAGGTTGCACAATTAATGGACAGTTCAGTAACATGCTTGTTATTGGAGGTGTAATGACAGATGAAACTTAAGAGTGAGTGAGTGAGTGAGTATGGTTTTACGCCGCTTTTAGCAATTTTCTAGCAATATCACGGCGGGGGACACCAGAAATGGGCTTTTACCCATTGTAACCATGTCGGACCAAACTTAAGATGTCAATAGATGATCACTGGGGGCATGGGAAGCCGAGTTGTCTAAAGCGCCGCAATTCACTGTGCAAAGTTGCATCCATTGGGAATGCCAGAAACCTATGATTGTCAGATAGAATTCTGATTTGCCCTGATTATGTGTCAGTGCCATACCCATGCTCATGGATTTCAGCAGTGGCAAACTTTGGGCTTTCCTCCCAGTTATGTGGACATACTGTGATATAAATGGAAGACTGTTAAAAGAGGCATTGAAGAAGAAGATGAAGGAGAAGAAGGGATAACCACTAATGCTGTGTTACACGATATTATTATGGCCACCATCATGAGGGACACAGGAACAAAGATGAAAATGAATTTTTCATTAAAGAATATTATTCTTGTTGGCACATATAAATCCCAAAGGGCACATCTTTACTTGAAAAGATTACATTTCTATCCCCGAATTAAAATGCCTTAATGAACATATATCAGGCAGAGTTACATCCGTCCACAACCTCACTCCTAATGAGCCAAGTAAACCATTCGAACCTGACACTGAACCTGACAGTTATCAGAGTTACCTCCCTCTACCATCAACCAAGCAAAACGAGCCTCAGAGTTACCTCCCTCTACAATCTATCACTTGTATGAAACCTAGCAAACAGATTGTCAAGAGTTACCTCCCTCTACCACCTCTCTTCTACTTAACAAAGCAAACGGTCAACCAAGCTCCCTCCATCTACCACCTTCATTCTACTGAACCTAGTAAACAAGCGTCAAGAGTTACCTCCATCTACCACCTTTCTTCTCCTGAACCTAGCAAACAGTCAACCAAGCTCCCTCCATCTACCACCTTCATTCTCCTCAACCTAGCAAGCATCAAGAGTTACCTCCCTCTACAAACTCTCTTCTCCTGAACCTAGTAAACAAGCGTCAGGAGTTACCTCCCTCCACAAACGCTCTTCTCCTGAACCTAGCAAACAGTCAACCAAGCTCCCTCCATCTACCACGTTTCTTCTCCTGAACCTAGCAAACAGTCAAACAAGCTCCCTCCATCTACCACCTTCATTCTACTGAACCTAGTATACAAGTGTCAAGAGTTACCTCCCTCAACCACCTTTCTTCTCCTGAACCTAGCAAACAGTCAACCAAGCTCCCTCCATCTACCACCTTTCTTCTCCTGAACCTAGCAAACAGTCAACCAAGCTCCCTCCATCTACCACCTT